ATAGTTACACTAATTTAGACTTTTGCTAACAATGGAAAAGGGTTCCTTTTCCCCCACAACATTGCCAGCATTGTTTTTGGTTGATTTCTTGATGATAGCCATCTTTCTGGAAAGAGATGGAACCTAGTATTATTTTCATTTGCGTTTCCCAAATGACCAGTTATGTAGAACATTTGTTTTACATATATATTTGCTGTTTTTACTTCTTCATCTGAGAAGTGTCTGTTCATTTCAGATGCCCATTTTGTAGTGAGTCTTTAAATTTGGGGTTTGAGTGCTTTATATATTCTAGATACTAGTTCTTTGTCTGAGAAGTACCTGGTAGAAAAATATTCCCACTCTGTGAGTTATCTCTTCACACTCTGGGTGGATTCTTTTGCTGTGAAAAACCTTTTTAAATTGGTATGATCCCAGTTGTTGATTATTTCTAGTATTTCCTGCTCATGGCTTTGTTTTTAAAGTCTTTGCCTACACCTATGTGTGAAAGAGTTTTACCTACTCTATCCTCCAGCAGATTGTTTCTTTTTTAATATTCATATTTTTGATCCATTTTGATTTTAATTTAGTGAATGATGATAGAAATGAGTCCAATCTTAGTCTTTGGCATATAGAAAGCCAGTTTTTCTAGCACCACTTAAAGAAGCTATCTCTCTTCCAGTGAACATGTTTGACTGCTTTGTCAAAGACAAGGGAGCTAAGTGTACTTAGTGCTGGTTCTGCAGCTTCTATTCCATTCCATTGATCTTCAAGTCTGGTTTTTGTTTGCTTGTTTGTTTGTTTGTTTCTCCAGTATCATACTGTTTTTTTTTTTTTTTATCACGTCAGCTTTTTAGCATAGCATCAAATCATGGATTGTAATGTCCCCTGCCTTGCTTTTATTGACAATAATTGCTTTTGCTATTCTAGGTGTCTACTAGTGCCATGTGGATTTGGGGTTTATTTTCTCTAGTTCTGTGATGAATACCACTTGTAGTTTGATTGCAATTGCAATACATTTCTATAACAGTTTTAGAAGTATAGGCATTCTCACTATATTGGTTCTGCCTATTTAAAAATGGGACACTTCAATTTTCTGATATCTCTTTTTTTAGAGTGCTACTATATAGTTTTCGATGTAAAGGTCATTCACTTCCTTTATTAGATTGATTCTTCTTAGTACTTCATTTTTTTCTTGCTTTTACTGTCAAAGGGGTATTGCCCTAGTTTCTGTCTCAGTGACTTCGTTACTGAGAAATTCTATTGATTTTTGAGTGTGAACTTTGTATTCTGCTACATTCCTGAATTTCATTATTAATTTTAGAAGCTTTTTGATGGAGCTTTTGGGGTCTTCTACGTAGGGTGTCACATCATTCACAAATAATAGTTTAGCGTCTCACTTTTTCTATCCATTTATAGTCATTTTCTTTCTTTCTCTCCTCTAATTGCTCTGTATAATATTTCCAGAAGTACATTGAAAAGGACTGGAGAAAGTGGGCATACTTGTTTTATTCCTGATTTAGACTGAAAACTTTCAGTTTTTGAAAATTTAATATAGCTTTGGCTGTTGGTTCATCATAGATGGCTTTTATCAGATTGACATAAATATGTATTCCAATTTTCTGTAGGGTTTTTGTCATGAACATATGTGAGACTTTGTTGAATAATCTACTGAGATGATCATGCAGTTTTTGTGCTTGGTTTTGTTAACGTAGTGTATACACTTATTTATATGTGTATGTCCAGCCATCATTAGAGCCCTGAGGTGAAGCCTGTTTAACATGGTATATAAACTTTTTGATGACTTGCTGCATTCTTTTTGCCAGTCCTTATTAAAGATTTCTGCATCTACATTCATTAAAGCAATTGGCCTGTAGTACTCTCTTTTGGTTGGGTCCTTCTCTTTTTTGGTAGCAGTATAATACTTGCTTCCAGGAATGACTATGGGAGTACAGGTTCACTTCCAACATCATCAAAGATCTTGAGGAATAGTGGGATTAGATTTTCTCTAATAGAAATTCAGCAGTTAATCCTTCAGGACCTGGGTTTTTCTTTGTTGATAGTGTGTGTGTGTGTGTGTGTGTGTGTGTACATGTGTCTGTGTGCATACTTCTTCAATTTCATTTACTGATATTATTTATTGCATATCTTCTTGCTTTAGCTTTGGTAATTCATAGATATCTATGAATGCATCCATTTCTTCTGAATGTTTTATCCAATTATAGTTTCTCAAAGTAGATACTGATGATCTTTGGATTTCTGCAGAATTTATAGTGATTTTGTCTTTTTCATTTCTATTGCATGAATTTGGGTCTTGTCTTGAAAAATTTGGGTAAAAGTTTGGTTACTTTATTTTATCTTTCAAAGAAGCAGCTTTTTGATTCATTGATTATTGTTTTCTTAGTCTCTATTACATTATTTTCTGCCTTTATCTTTATAATTTTATTTTCAATTTAAGCTTTGGGTTTAACTTGCTCTTCGTTTTCTAGAACCTGAGGTTCAACATTAGCTTATTAATTTGTACTTGCCCTGTTTATTTGATGTGAGAATTCACTGCTATAATTTCTCTTGTAGGATATTATTCATTGTGTCCATAAGAGTTCCAGTATGTTTTACTGGCATTACTGTTTAATTGTAAAATTTGTCGAATTTCTTCTTAAACTTCATTTCTGACCCATTGATTATTCACAAGGATATTATTTAATTTCCATGTATTTATGTAGTTTTGTGATTTCTTTTGTCAACCATTTTAAATTTTATCACACTGTGATCTGATTATATTCATGGAGTAATTTCAATTCCTTTAGATTTACATAAGCATATTCTATAAGCTAACTTGTGTATTTTTGAGAAAGGCATATGTGTTGCTGAGAAAAATGTGTATTCTGTTGTTGGTTGGACTCTGTAGATATCTATTAAGTCCATTTGTTCAGAAGCTTGATTCAACTCTTATATTTCTTTGTAAATTTTTTGTTTAGTTGATCTGCCTGTTTGTGACACTGGGGTTTTGAGTTCTCCCATTTATGATCATATTGATGCTTCTCCACTTTTTCATATCCATTAATCTTTGTTTTATACAGTTGGATGTAGCAGTATTTGGTACATATATTGTTATATATTCCTCTTAAATTATTCCATTCACAAGTATATAGCAACCTTCTTTGCCTATTATGATCTACTGAAATCCACTTTGTCTTAGAATAGTTACTTATCCTGTTTTCCCAGGAGCATTGTTTTCCATCCTCTATCTTTTATTCTGTGAGTTCTCTTTTAATTAAGTGTATTTCTGTATGCAACATAGTGTTGGATCTTGTTTCCTGATCCATTCTGCCAACCTGTTTCTTTTGATTGATAAACTGAGACCATCAATATTGATGGTTATAACTGGTAAGTTTTGATTTGTCCTTGTCATTTTATTATTATTTAATTTATTATTTTCTTCTTTTTGGTTCCCTTTCTTTCCACATTATTTAATTGCTTGCCTTGTCTGGTAAATTCATTCTGTTCAGATTCTTGACATTGTTATTTTCATTGTCTTTTTCTAGAATATCCTTTAGTACTATTTAGTGTGTTGATTTGATGATCATGAATTTCTTTACATGTTCTTTATCATGTAACAATCTTATTTTTCTGTCAATTTTGAAAGATAATTTTGCATGGTACATTAGCGTGGGTTGTAGGTTGTTTTCTTTTAGGGCTTAGAATGCTTTACTTCAAGCTCTCTTTCATAAAAGCTTGTGTTGAGAAGTCTGCTGTGATTCTAATGGATTTTTTCTTTATATATGATTTCTTTCTTTTCTGTGACAGCTTTTAGTATCATACTTTTGTTTTGATTCCTGAGTCTCGACTATTACATACATTGGTATATATATATATATATATATATATATATATATATATATTTTTTTTTTTTTTGGTTATGGTTATTTGGAGTTTATGCCTCACTTATCTTTTTCTATGGTTGAGACATTTCCTGTTATTACTTCTGTGAATAGATTTTTAATGCCCTTTCTTCTCTTTTCTGATTTTTCATTGATTCTAATTAATCTTTAATAATTTTCTTTGCATCATCTTGAAAATGTTGGATTGACATTTTGTGGTTCTTTTGCTTTTTTTAAAGAAATTAATTTGATGGTCACCAACCACAAACTTGTTTTGTAAAGAACTAATATTGTATTTTCACATTGGCTTTCTATCCTTCTGAATAGAACTTTTAATTTCCTGTTTTTCTGTTTGATGCTATTTTATTGGATGCAGTTCTTTTCTATGTCGGGAATACTTGGTTCTCATGTCTTTCCTGAGCTTCGCTAATTTTAAATCGATATCTGTACTACTTTCACTAACCATTTTCTCCATATCCTTAATTATCTGTGTAATTACTACTGTTTTAAATTTGTCAAGACTCTTATTCATCAACTTTATTCTTTCAGCTTGGTAGCATTTGATTTTTTCCAAGCAATGGCTCTTGATTTTGCTTTGGAGGAATTAGACATCTTGAGGTGTTTCTTGCTTCTGTGATTTCTCATTTTCTACTTTTCGTTATTGTTATTTGTTTGCTGCATTTAGACTTCTAAATTATTTATAGTAGGTAGCTTTATTACAATGGTGCCTGTGTTCACAAGCTTAATGTTTTCCACAATTCTGGTCACAAGTGGAATTGGATGATAACTTAATCAAATTTTCCCATAAGGTCAACATTGAATCTAACTAAGCACTGAATTTAATTCAGTTCTTATGCAATGTGGCTTGTGGCCAGAATTATGAAAAGAATTCAGTTCATGAATCACGGTACCACTGTACTAGTATCAAGACATTTTTAGATAATGACTACTTTACAGAGATGTCTTCTAGGTGTAGCTGGCTTTTGAGCTATGAGTCTGTCTCAGGACCCCAACCTCTTCTATTTAGTAGAGATGAAAGTTTGCAACTTGCTTGACCTAGCATGCATCTCCTTCATACTGGACTGTGGTACTGTTTATAACACCCAGACAAGCTGGGTGTAGATGTACAAGGAAGATCAGTTGGAAAATATGGAATGTTTCAAAATTTGCATGTTCCCTTGTACAGGGCCTGTGCTATCTTCTCTGTATCATGTCAGTGTTATCATATGTTCTGCTGAAGTGAGCACTGGGTATAATTTAACATAAAAGAATTCATCCTAAAAATTTATATAATTGTACTTTGTACAGAATTATATATTATAGTTTGAGATTATTCATTGTAAAAGAGACACAAAGAAAATTGTATAGTATATGAAGTATACTTACTGCTTATCATGAACCTTAACCAAACTAAAAACATAGAACAAGTGGTATCTTTATTCATGAACTTAACAATTGAATAATTGGCATTTCGTCTATCCATTTGTATTTAATTTGTATAATATAATATTATTACAAAGTTAACTATATTCTAATGATGACTCTATGTTTGGAGTATGATGAAATGATTTAATTCATTTGGAATCAGTGAATAATGATCACCATAGTCATTCATGCTATGTATATTTATCTACATATTTTAAATTATAACAAAAATACAAGTTGAATTTATAGCCAGTGAATGTAAAAATTGAAAATGAACATTTTGAAGTACCATACCTAAGTTCACAAAACTGATTAAAATACCATGAGAACTTTAATTTGCTCTTAAACTGTTATTCTCATGACTTCACAAATAATGTGTCAGAATAAATATATCTGCAAAAATCATTAAAATAAATATATTAAAAAAGCTGAATAATTTCTTTATAACTGATTCATGGGGGAAGGAAAGTCCATAAATGTTTGTTTATATTAGCTTCAGGGCATTTGTTTTGTGTGATTTAATGTTCTTGGAGACAATTTAGAGCCCTACACAATTAAACCTGATAGATGGGCCATTTTACAAAGACTTTTTGAAAAGTTAATTTTGTGGATAGAATAATCATTTCAAACAGTATTTTTAGGCCACTAATAAAGAGATGATACCTGTTTTTGTGTTTTTACCTTAAGAATTTTATTCTCAAAAATATACATAGTGAAGTATTTAATGAATGACTGATAAATAAATTTGATGGTTTATATTTCTTCATAGTGAGTGTTAAATGAATTCTGTGATGAGTTTTTAAAACATTGAGTGTTAGACATGGATGAGAACTTACAAAATTTACTTTGGTACTATCTTATAAAAGAAAAAGCTGATATTAAACATAGCTTTATACTAAATAGCAAACTCTAATCATACATTTTGATTTCTAGACTATATACCTTGATTATTTTCAGTGACTTTTCTAAATGATTACATAACATCACTTTTCTGAGATGGTATTGGCTATTTTGACATTGTAGCTATGAGAAAATAAAATATAGCATGAATTATTTGTACCCCAAACTTTATGTCTGAAATCTGCCAATACCCAAAAAGATTTTATTATTTTTATATAGTATATTAATTCACATATTGGATAATGTAAACAATTTCTTATTGAAAATCATTTGGTTTAGGTCATGGAACAAAACTATTTTAGGACCAAAAGTACATTAAAGCTATATTTAATTACCTTTTTAATAAAAGAATGAAGCACATCATGTACTAGAAGAATGATTTCAAGAACCAAAGAGATTATGATTTCAATTCCCCTTTTCTTACTTGATGAGTAACCTCAAAATGTCTAAAAGTTCACACACTTAAGGTGTTGAGTTACTTTTTCCAAGACTTGGTGAAGTTTCTAATATCTGATCTTATTTGTAGTGAACGTTGATGGCATTTTATTATTAAACCAAGGAAGAACATTTACACAATTCCTACAGGATCATAGCTCTCATTGCTTTTGGAAAGGATCATAACCCAAAGTCATTTCATTGTCTGTTGGTGTATTAGTCAGTTTCCCACCACTGGGGACAAGAGAACTGACATCTGCACCTTAACAAAGACAGGTTCAATTTAACTCATGGTTTTGAGGTATTCGGGTACCAGCTACCTTCGAAGCACACAGGGCACAGTGGAGCAGTATGAAGGAAAGAAGCTCCTCAACATCTGGCAGGCAGAGAAAAAAGGGTGACGCTAATAATAAGAGTACACCCTTCCAGGTCATAGCCCAGTGACCCGCCTCCAGTGAGGCCCCAGATCCTAACTGTACATTCAGCTTATACAGCCTGGCTCAGCAAATAGAGAACTCCCCTGATCAAACTGCCTTCCAAAGGCACTGCTATAAACAGGTGAGATTTTGGGGGAGGACAGTGTAGATCTAAACCACAACAGTTGAGTAATGCTTTTGTCATATCTTTATGTCCCTTTACTTTGTCTTTCAAGAGATGCCATTTAAGATAAGCATTCCGATTTTTCATATAAACACATTCCTGAGCACTTACTATCTACAAAGGCGTATGCTGAGCACTGTGAAAGATGTGTAGATAAATAAGACATGGATGTGGTCTTTTCACAACCTAGTATATCTGAGGGAAGACTAGATGTAGACACGAGTATCTACAATATTACAGCTAAAAAAGTAGATTCACAAAGATCTAAGATGAATGCTGTCTCGTAGGCTGTAGATATATTATGGTCATTTGTCTAACCTTAAAGAGATATTTAACAAGTAATTATCATCTTTACTTTGAAAAATTCTAGAGAAATGCTAACAAACAAATTGGTTAAATATATACTGCCATGGAAAAGTGCAGGTAGTGTGGGAGGCAGACATTTATAAACAATCACATAAATGTATGATTTTAAATTATGGTAAATGCTCTTTGAGGAAAAGAATTTATTAGAAAATACAGAATTCAGGTATGTTTAGTATCAAATTTTGGAGGTAGCTTCTGAAATGATTATTTTTTGTTTTGTGTTTGTCTTGTGTTTACTTAGATCTTGAGCTAAGATGTAAAGGGGGACTAGGGGAGGCAGATAATCCTAGTAAATGTCATAAACAGTACTAGGGGTCAGATGGAGTTCGGTGTTCTTAAATCTGCAAGGCCAATGGGACCACATTCTAGAAAGGAGAAGACACATGTGAGGCAGCACTGAGTGTTCCACAGCAAGGCCATAGTATGGATTTTGTTATTTTAAGACAAATTGGTTCATATTGAATGATGTTAGCAAAAAAAAAAAAAAGGTCCTTAATTGGATTTATTTTGTCTGCCATATTTTGTTTTAATCATTCTGGCTGCACTGTGATATTAGATTACAACAGGATATTAATTCAGGTAAACACTGTTTATCAATATGAGCAGAGTAGCAGCAATAGCGACACGGCAGAAAGAATCAGAACTAGTTACAAAATAAAAGTGAGAAAATTCAGTAATGGGTTGTATATTATTTCAAGGAGGAGAGAGCAGAAAGAGCTAGATTTATAGCTTTCATAAGGGTAAAGAAGAGTGTATTACCTTCAAAATTACAATCCTGTAATCCTGAGCCAGGTGGCATGCACTTTGTCATGTACCACTGGCTATCTGCTTTGGAATCTTGGCTTATTTAATGAACAAATAAATAAGTAGCTATACGTAATAACTCTGCCATGTGGGAAAGTGGGGATTGTTTTAAGCAAGGAAGGAAGGAGAGAAAAATATTACTTATCCTTTTTGAATACTTGCATTATGTCAGGTATTGTACAAGGTTCTCTGTGTACCAACTGAAGAATAGAATACTTGTTAGTATTTATTCTGATAAACTCTAAAATAAATAAGTAGCTTACAGCACGTTTTCTTAATTCTGGCCCAAGTGGCATTTAGGACCAGACTAGTGTGTGTTATATGCCTGTCTCATATGTGGTAGGATGTTTACTAGCATCTAGAGGCTCTGTCTGCTGTGAACAGTAACCCTGCCCTTCCCTCTCCCTCCCCACTGAAGTGGAGACAACCAAAACTTCCTCCTGAACAACTCCTTTTCAGTTAAAGAGAGATTTTTGAGTGGAGGGGAAAAGTTCAGAGTATTTTATGTATTCATTAAACATATTCTAAAAATGCACCTTTCATTCTATTTTTACATCTGAAAAATTGAAAGACATAATGACAGGCTTTTATGCTAAACTCATTCTTTTCTCTCAAAAAGAAACCATACCTGGTATTAGAACATCTTAAAAGTTTTTAATTGTTAATGATATTATCATTCGGGAGTGTGTAGGTAATGTCTCTAGTATACCAGGAACTGGGTTTTCTCAATTCAAAAATAGAGAGCTGCCCTCTGAAAACTTGACTGCTATTCTGTTTGGTGGAAATGTATTTTTTTTCCAAAAAATCTTGTAACTCACTATTTTACTCCGTTCACATCCTTCTGGAATGTGATATTGACTATTAAAGTCTGACAGATTTATTAACTATATTTTGCTATTCTTGGAGATAAGTAAGCATCCAAACCAATCAGATCAGTTTGAGGATTTGTTAGAAATTGGTTACTTAATGATGATAGCCAGTGCATATAAACTACAGAAGAATCTTAGAGTCAAAGTGACTTCATTTGTTTTCCTAGAAAGCTGATATTCTCAGTTAATTAATATGTTTGTTCTTATCATAGATTAATTTGCCTAACTATAAACACAGTAAATCATAGACCCATATGCTTTGGCAACCTTTTTTCATTATATTTTAAAGTCATTGTATGGCCTGTTGCTAATAGTAATAACCCTCAGTATTTTATTTAACCTATAAAAGAGACTCAGCTATCTATTCCATATTGATTTAAATACCTAAATTGAGATCTAGGTGTGACTATCCAGAAATCCTAGTCTTTATTTCTTGATAACATATGCCAATATTTTATTTTCTTGGGTTTACTATTTTCTGTATTTATATTATCTCTTGAGTGAAGCATATTATCAATTTAAAGTAATATTATTTGAAAAGAGTATTTTGAAGGAATTTTTTCCTAGTGAACTATGTATTTTCATCGCTTGAAGGGGAACTACTCTGGTATAGATATGTACCAGTTACCTTGCTTTGCCTCTGAATGATCATTGTTTCAGAAACAGAGCATTGAAAGCACTTTAAGATTGAAGTTCCTTACGCTTTTGCTAGACAGGTTGCATTTAAGCTAGTGTGGCCAAATGGAAATAAATCCTGTTTTTAAAGTCCTCTGGAGACATCACAGTTGGCAACCAAGTCATGGTTCAACGACCTTTACTGTTAACTGCTTCTTTTCTCTACTTTGCCT